GCAGTTCTTCAAGCCATCGCCTTATGGCCACGCCACTATACTCCGTATGGAAGATAGTGGAACAGCCAGGTGGAGTGACTACTGTGTCTCAGAGTTCTCATGGAAAAGAAACTTTAAAGGACACATACCGGATAGGGAGAAATGGAAGAGTAGCACTGTCCTGGGGCAGAACGAGCTCTCCATTTTCACCGACTGGTCAAAGACGGCCGAAGGGACAGGAGCTGGAATCTTCTCCGAAGTACTAGCAACCAACATATCCCTAAGACTACCAGACTGGTGCAGTGTATTCCAGGCGGAGATATATGCAGTATGGCAAGCGGCAAAGTTGGTATACACCTTGGAGATACCTCCGAGGAACATAGCAATCTGCGTTGACAGTCAAGCTGCCATCAAAGCCCTGGTATCCTGCAACACCACAAGCAGACTCGTACGTGATACGGTGGACGCACTAAACCAGATCAGCGCGCACTCAATCACACTCACGTGGGTTCCGGGTCACACCGACATAGCGGGCAACGAGAGTGCGGACGAGTGTGCCAGAACTGGATCGGCCAAGCCAATGGCGGACGCAGTCAGCGACATAAGGAGACCACTACGAGACATCATCTCGCAGATGATGGGCCGAGCCAGAACGAGATCGGACAGGAGGTGGAACACCACACCCAACTGTGAGATCTCTCGCTCGCTCTGGCCCCACTATGACCTTAAACGCACCAAGACTCTCCTAAGCTTCAGGAAGAGTCGGGTGCGAACACTGACGGGAGTTATAACGGGGCACTGTGTCATCGGCCGCATGGCCACAAGGTACAGACTGCCCCACCATGACTTCTGCCGCAGCTGCGGAGACGAGGAGGAAATAGAGAGCATCCAGCACCTTCTCTGCAACTGTCCTGCACTCATGGGGAGACGTCACCGAATACTCGGTGGCGCCTTCTACGAAGATCTGGACAGCCTGGCAAACATGCCTCTAGAGAAACTGGTGCTCTTTATAGAGGCCTCGGGATGGTTCGCGAAACCTCCCTAGGCACCGGACAATATCCCGTGACGAGTGTGGGCATCACAATGGGCAGACTTGCCTCCGAGTGACCTCGACTTCAGTCGAGCAGCCCTATAAACCTAACCTAACCTAAGACAGACCCAGTATCGTTGGGGTCGTCGTTCGAGGTCGCAAAACGTCGTTTCTTATCGTTAGAGCGACGAACGTTAAGAGAGAGTGAGCTGAGAGACATGTATCTCAGTTTCATGAAAGAATATATCGAGCTCGGCCATATGTCTCCGACAGACAACGCGATTCCGCCAGGACCACATTATTTTATACCACACCAGTGCGTCCTGAGGCCTGATAGCAGTTCCACCAAGCTTCGAGTCGTTTTTGACGCGTCGAGCAAGACCACAACTAGGTGGTCATTAAACGATTTACTTACTTATTTACCTACTATTCAGAGGGAATTATTTTTATCACTCGTTCGATTTCGGGTGAATCGGTATGCTTTAACGGCAGACGTTTCGAAAATGTATAGTCAAGTGGATGTGGCCGTAAAAGACCGGAATTTCCAACTCATCGTGTGGCGAGAACATCCCACCGATCAATTGCAAAATTTTCGGTTGAACACAGTTACCTATGGTACTTCCGCAGCACCTTTCCTTGCCCTTCGTTGTTTGCACGAGCTCGGTGTACGCCACAGAGACACCCACAAGAAGGGTTCTGAGGTGATCTGCAGTGATTTTTATGTAGACGACATGCTGACAGGAGCCGATGACGTAGACACGCTGAAGTCGATGTGCGATCAGGTGTCTGAGATTCTTGGCTCCGGAGGGTTTCAGCTTTCGAAATGGTTTTCGAACCATCCAGAACTAATGGATGGAAACAATGAGGAGAAATCCCTATCATTCAATGATGCCGATTCGACCAAAACATTGGGGATGAGGTGGAGTCCAAGAACAGATACGTTCCGGTATCACTTAGAAGATAGCTTCACAAACTTGAATCCGACTAAGCGCACCATTCTGTCAATTAGTGCTCGACTGTTTGATCAGCTTGGGCTACTTAGTCCAATCAGCATAACAGCGAAAATTTTCCTCCAGAAGCTGTGGCAGCTTCAGCTGGATTGGGATGAAGCCATCCCAATGTCACTGCATACAAGCTGGGAGAGGCTAAAGCTAAACTTGTGTGGTCTTGACAAAATAGCCGTGCCTCGGTACGTTATGGCTAGTGGGTGCTCGTCGATTCAAGTGCATGGCTTCGCGGACGCGTCTAGTCAAGCGTATGGGTGCTGCATTTATGTGCGAGCGCTTTTCGAATGTCAAACGTACGTTCGATTGATCGCTGGGAAAGCAAGAGTAGCTCCCCTAAAAACAAAGACCATCCCGAGGCTCGAATTGTGCGCCGCAGCGTTATTGGCGCAATTTTGGGCCTACGTATAGCAAGTTTTGGAAAAGTGTCGAGTCGAGAGCGTATTTTTCTGGACGGATTCAGAAATAACGCTACATTGGATTAAAACCCAACCGTCGTCACTTGCAGTATTTGTCTCAAATAGAGTAGCCATGATTCAGGAGCTATGTCAGGGCATTACGTGGCGTCATGTCCCATCGCTCTCGAATCCAGCGGACTTGGCGTCTCGCGGATGCGAAGTGCCTGAGCTCCTGGAGTCCATATGGCTAGAAGGTCCGAAATTTTTATGTGAGCCTGAGCATTGTTGGCCAGAGAACCCGCATTTTGACATCCCAGATGATGTGAAGAACTCCGCCCAGGTTCTAATTGGCGTTGCGAACTCGTTTTCAAATGAAATATTTTCTCGTTTTTCGTCGTACCCCAAATTAGTTCGAGTTTTTGCGTATGTATACCGATTTGCTAATATCGGCAAGAACAAGGAACGTTACAGGGAGCTAACTGCAAAGGAGTTGCAGCAATCGTCTCTAAAATTAATGGAGCTGGTTCAGCGAAGCGTCTTCTCTGAAGAGTTTAAGAAGCTGAACAAAAGGGCATACGTTGCAACCGAGCCTGCAGATGATGGCCCCTTTTATCCAAAAAAGATCAGAGGAGGGGCGATCGTTTACACTTATCAGGGTCGGAGGAAGGCTGTTGCATGCTCCAGTGCCAATAGAGGCTAAGTTTCCGGTTCTACTTCCCGCCAAGAGTCAATTCGTCGAACTCTATTTAAGGAACCTGAATTTTAAGAATTGTCACGCCAATGCAAAGACATTAGTAAGTTTGCTGAGACAAGAGATTTGGCTAGTAAATGCACGTCGAGAATGCACTCGCATAGTGAGGAGATGCATCCACTGTTTTCGATACAAACCTAAATTGATGGGTCAGATTATGGGGAATCTTCCAGCAGACAGGTTTAGGGAAGGTCGTCCGTTCCTGATTTGCAGGGTAGACTTTTGTGGTCCCATCAACGTCTCGCTTCGGATTCGAGGTCGTCAGCCGCTCAAAATGTACGTAGCGGTATTTGTGTGTTTCGCTTCGAAGGCCGTCCATTTAGAGCTTGTCCCAGACCTGCCGACTAATTGTTTTCTTTTATCTCTAAAAAGCTTCATCGCAAGACGAAGCGTTCCGCTGAGGATGTATTCCGACAATGGGACAAATTTCGTCGGAGCCCGGAACGAGCTGCAGAGGCTTCAGGAAGCGTTCGAGGAGCAGCAGTCCAGCCTGAGGACGTTCGCGGCGGAGCAAGGGATGGAGTGGAAGTTCATCCCCCCGCGAGCACCGCACTTCGGCGGTATATGGGAGGCGGCCGTCAAGTCGGCAAAGCTCCTGATCGTGCGCTCACCGAGAGCGAGGTGAGGACCGTGTTGGCCGAGGCCGAGGCCATCATGAACTCCAGGCCGCTCACTCCAGCCAGTACGGATCCAAACGCCGGAGAGGTGCTTACGCCAGGCCACTTTTGATCGGCCAGCCCCTTCGTTCGCTGCCGCAAGGGTGCGAGCAAGACGGACGGAGCAGCGGTACCACCTTTACCAAGAGGTGGCAACTACTCTCCGAGCTCAAACGACGGTTCTGGCAGGCTTGGTCGAAGGACTACGTCCACAACCTGCAGGGACGCAGCAAATGGCAAACCCCAGAGGCCAACATCGAGGTCGGCGCCATGGTGGTGGTCCACAACGACCATACGCCGCCGCAGCAGTGGATCACCGGCAGGGTCACCAGCGTCGTCGTGGGAGCAGACGGCAAGGTCAGGGTGGCAGAGGTGCGAACAGGAGGGGGCGTGATTAGACGCCCAATCCATAAGCTGGCACTTTTGGCGATACGTTGAAGCCCGACGTGCGGTCGTTCAAGGCGGCCGGAATGTCGTTACACCATAGAATAATAGTCAATAAGTAGAAAGCAATGAAGTTATGTATGAAATGTAATGTAGTTCGTAAGGTTACGGCATGAAGTCCCGCCACTGTAAATCCAAGCAACATGTAACTACACGCCCGCAGCATAGCCGACAAGCGATGCGTGGGAATAAAGCACTCGTAAATTGAACTTCGTTTCGCACGGTTTATTTTTTGATCGCCCTTTATCGCCGCCCACAGCTCTGGTCTATACTGCTAATTCCCGCGTCTCAAGCCTAAGTAAGGGCATTAAACAAACAAACAAAAATAGTTTCGAATTTTCTACAGAGACCATAAAAGCTAGAGAAAGCGGGTACTGGGCCTGTAGCTTACTCTCTTCTATCCCTTTAATCTAAAAATAGGCGTATATACTAGAAACACGCTGCGATCAGATTTTTATTAACAGCAGATAGTCCCAATGGAAAGCCGAAATTTTTTTCGCACCTGTCGTTTTTCTCTTTGAACAGCTGTCTAATGGTGGAGATACGCTCTTTTGAGTGAATACTTTATTGATGTCCCTATTGATCTCTCTCCTAGAGTGTTTTAGCATTAGGAGTACTCACACCTCATGTCCGTACTATACTCGAGGAGAGCGTATGAAGAGAATTAGCGGTGAAGAGTAAATAACAGATTATATGAATTTATGAACAAGTGTTTTTTTCTGCATTCACGGCATTCAGGAACTTGGCATCGACAATGTCATACAAAAATTAGGAGAATATCGCACGAATTTGGAGGCTGACAGATGCGCATCTACTATACATACTGTTATTGAAAATGCATTAGACACCGAACGCAATCAAATTGTGGAGCTCATTGAAATTGTTATCCATAAAATGGCACCTCCAATGAAACTCTATTTGGCTGAAGGGGCGGAAGTCGTTCATAAGGATTCGAATTCTATGGACCAACTGATGATGTATTTAGAAAGTTCATTGGATACTCTCTACAACACACTTAATGAAGTAAACTTTGGAAGAATATTGGAAAGCATTTGGTCAGAGCTATCGATAATACTTTATGACCTAATTCAATCAAATCTTGATGTAAGTACTCTTTCTCATAAGTATCTGATAGCTATAACGTTTTATGTTTTAAAGAAACGACGGCCACCAGCATATTTCAAAAATTTAAAGGACACCCTTCAGACAATGATATATTGCTTCAAAATGGGTAACGTTGAAACGGACGTAAACATTTTGTCTACAATTCAAAGTAGGCTTGACGCTTATGCCCTTGAAACAGCAGATCTTATTCATCAATATTATATCGAGCAATTGCAATATCAAAAAAATCAACCATTATCACCCTTTGGACAACTTACCATAAGGGCTGAGCTTACAGATGCAAGTTTATTAGTAAGTAAAACACTATAGATAAATTAAACAATAAAGTATCTTTTTATTTTTTTATTAAAGCTTACCATATTAAATTCGCGCAATTTGCTTCCAATGGATTCAAATGGTTTGGTCGATTCATTTACAAAAGCTAGTTTCATGCCCACAAGTCGATTTAATGATATATCACCAGTAAAGACTACTGTTCACCATAAAAATTGTTTTCCACTGTACGATCAGGAATTTTGTATGTAAGTACAAATACCTGCAGAAAAAACTAAGATTATATTTTTTGTCATAAAACTTAGATTATACTTTTTGTCATAAATTTGTATACCCGGTACATAGTACATATCCTTGGTCAGCATCGAGTCGATATTGTCTGTCTGTCCGTCCGCCTTGTTGAGCGCCTATATCTCAGAGAATATAAAAGATAGAGAAACCAAATTTTTGTTCCCAGACTCATGTGATATCACACTTTTACAAATCTGTGGCGCACAGTGTGCGCTCTCTGACGGAGAATGAGCAAGAATTACGTGTTGGTGTGAGAAGACAGCGAGAGAGAGAAATGTAGATGTAGCAAAAAAAAATGGAAACAGGTACTCAGGCACGCTTTCACTTACTTTTGCGTTTTATGTTTTCAGCAAAAAGTCATACTTTTCATTTCAAGGTGCTCTGACATTCGCAAAAGCAAAAAAATTTGTATGAGCAGCAGAGGACCGCAGGAAATAGCTTAATATTGTTCAGTGTAAAAGATAAGGATCTATTTGGTATTTCAAGTCAGTACATAGGAGAATGCTATATATCATTCAGTGATCTCATGGAATCTGAAGGAGAACAGATAATTATGAATTTGTCTCGACCAGAGTATACAGGTGACTAGTTTTTCTTAAAAATATGTATGTATGAGTAAGTTGAAATTTTTGTATTTCAGATTCAGAAGCGCTCCGTGCTCTGGATTTTATAAAAAAATTGAAAAACAAATCGTATTCCTAAGATGCAACAAATTATATATTAAATTTGTTTTTACACATCAAAATAAAGTCTAGCATTTTAAAACATATACTTTCATTAACGGGAAAGGCGTTCTCTTAAAGTTAAGGGGTACTCCTGGATACGACTGATTGGATTGATATCGATTTAAAACATGATCTTATTCATAAACACATTTTAATCACACAAATTTGTACCAATTTAAAAGCGACGAAGAATAATTGAATCTTTGGCAAAGCAAAATGGCTTAAGCAGACTAAAGATTTCAGAGGACATTCGCATATAGAATGTTGCTGCAACAGATTCGTATAGGCCTAATCACGAATGTAAGAAAAAAAAAAATATTATAGAATTAAAGGCCCACAATGCGCTCGGCAGTTTTCTTCTATTTTGCATAAACAACCTTCTGGATCAACGTCAATAGCAGAGTCTATGTCTTTCTGTCTAACCCTCTGTCCGTCTGTCCGTCCGTCCTTCCGTCTTGTTTTTTTTCGCCTAGTTCTCAGATGAGCTAGAGCAACCAAATTTTGTTTCCAGACTCATGTGATATACGAGTAACACTATTGCAAAGGTATTTCAAAATTTTTCCACGCCCCCTTCCGCCCCACAAATGACAAGAACATTAAGGACGATTATGCGACTTGACATTGGTCGCAGTCTGTAACTGATTCTTTGACTTTGTGCTAATTTAAGTAATCTCATCAGGTTATATAATGCGTTACCACTTTGAACTACCTCAAGTTTTTTTTGCCTTCGGCCAATTTAAGCTATTGTTATACCCGTACTCAAAAAAGAGTTAAGGGGTATTTAGATTTGTGGTAAAAGTGGATGTGTGTAACGCAGAGAAGGAAACGTTCCCCATAAAGTATATATATTCTTGATCAGCATCAATAGCCGAGTCGATATAGCTATGTCTGTCTGTCCGTCTGTCTGTCTGTCTGTCTGTCTGTCTGTCTGTCTGTCTGTCTATAAGAGCTAGGGCAACCAAATTTGGTTTCCAGACTCATGTGATATCCCACTGCTACAAGTGTATTTCGTCCCGCCCCCTTCCGCCATCACAAAGGACGAAAATCTGTGGCAGGCACATTTTTAAAGATACTATAAAAACTAAAAACGCATTATCGTAGAGAATGCCCATATCTACTAGACTGCCAAATTTGAATCAGATGGGATCATAATGAACAATGAACAAATTAATTTTCAGTTGCTTCCTCTGCCCCCTCCTGCCAACGACCGTGCAACTCATTTTCCTTCTCGCTCGCACACTCTGCCGCGTTCAGTGCGCGAGCAACCCCTAGCGGAGGAGATGTAGAATCTAAATGGTACATGTATAATCTACATGTTAGATGTAGAAGATACATAATATATGTAGATGTAGATAAGAGATGTAGCAAAAAAATGTAAAATGTACAATTTTTTTTTTTAATTCTAAAATTCTAAAAAATCATGCTGAAAAATGTAAATACTGACTGAGTACGGGTATAAGTAGAGTCGCGTCGTTAGAAGCGACTCACACGTTCCTTCTCGTTTTTAATTTGAAAAGTTTGCAATTAAACCCACCTATTTTGCCCGATGTTGAATTGTTGGAGCCAAAATATCATTTGCACAACGTTGTGGCATCTCTGATCCTATCTCAACATGATTTTAAAATCGATCCTCTGGCTCGTTTTTTAAATAAAACGCTCTTTTCTTTACCCTTTGATTAGGATGGTACAACAAAAAAATTATTTATTATTTAAAAAAAAAATTGCAATTATATTGGCTTGCTATTAGTTAATAAGAATCAGATTAACTTATTGGAAAAAATGTAGTTTTGGTTGTTAAAAGTCGTTTTTCTGCTGAAATCTAGAAGCGTTTGGCGAAAGTCACAAAACTTTTTGTTTTGTTATACAAAAAAGAGTTAAGGGGTATATTGTATTTGTGGTAAATGTGGATGTGTGCAACGCAGAGAAGGAAACGTTTCCGACCCCATAAAGTATATATATTCTTGATCAGCTTCAGTAGCCGAGTCGATATAGCCATGTCCGTCTGTCCGTCCGTCTGTCCGTCTTGATAAGCGCCTAGATCTCATAGACTAAAAGAGCTAGAGAAACTAATCTAGTTTCCAGACTCATATGATATCACACTCACACCGTCTGTCCGTCTTGATAAGCACCTAGATCTCAAAGACTAAAAGAGCTAGAGAAACTAAATCTAGTTTCCAGACTCATATGATATCACACTGCTAAAAGTGTATTCCAAAATTTCGCCCGCTCCCTTCCGCCCAACACAAAGAACGAAAATCTGTGGAAGGCACAATTTTAAAGATAAACTAAAACTAAACGCAATATCGTAGAGAATGAACATATCTACCAGATTGCCGAATCTGAATTAGATCGGATCATAATTATAGCCAGAATGAAGAAATTTATTTTCAGTTGCATCCCCTGCCTCCTTCAACAAGAGACCCGCTTCTCATTCTCTTTCTCGCTCGCACACTCTGCCTGGTATGAGGTAAGAGGGAAGGGAACATGTTTTCAGAATATAAAGTTATTGGATATTATATATATATCTATTAAATGTCTCGCTCCATTTTAACGCTGACATGATGATGATCGCAATCAGTACGAATTTTATTCGCTGGCACAGAAACAGTTGCATCGGCGAGTGTTGAGTCCCATGTGTATCGTGTTCGAGCAAAGTCAAACGTTGGCAAGCATCCCGAAAAGTGGCGCACAGCACACCATCCACAGTACGCAAGGAAGCGAACTATGTAGGTCCTCTAATGTTCACCAAAAGCAAGCGAAGATACATTTGTCTTGGCGTGGATGAACTGTGTTTATTCGTCCGACGGCATCAGTCGAATAGACATCAGCGAAGTCAGCAGCAGTGTCACCTCTCTTTTACCGTTGAAACTTCTTTGATGAAGCGTTCCATGCATAATAACGTGGCAATTCCGAATAGAGTAAAGTCCTTACAAACGTATCGCTTTCGCGTGTCGAAAAGAAATTTGTCAATGTTGTTGCTGGTGATCTTTCTGCTCTTAGCGCTGCATTTGTGTATGTAAAGTACACGCGCTGGCGGTTCTCCAAGTGAACTGCCAAATGCACGACAGTCGGTTGACGTTCATTAATCGGAAATGAAAACAGCCGCCAGATTGCCTCCGAAAAATTAGAATAGTTTTTATAATTAAAAAAAAGAGACCGAAAAATAAATTTGGTGGCGTTTAAAGATTTATTCAAAGTCGGGACGAAAATTAACTGCGTGCGCTCGATCGAAATTCCAATTATCGATTATATTCTATTCCTTCATACAAATTGTTCTAAGCCTAGCTAACCTACGGTGGCAAAGCGGGGTGAATTCGCCTTGAGCGAAAGAGCGATCTTCTATTGCGCTCCCGCCTTGCCCTAACCTACTTACACTAGACTTCAAACAATTCAAAATAATCTTAGCATAAAACGATGACATGACGAAACAGCCTCGTTACAACTCACGTAATGTCCAAATTTCATCACCTCGTCGTTTCCATTTGGACCGGCAGGCCAAACCCCGCCATGTCGCTCCCTTTGTTGACATATTTGTAAACGTATTTGATGGATTTGATGGAGTTGCAGTACTCAACATTGCAGTAGGTTGAGAGCGTTTTCGACAAAAGCGGACAGTATGGAACGATCCAGCGGTTATCGCTAACGAAATCATTTGCTATCACTTTCATCACAATTGAAATGCCGGTGTCATTTGGAGAACGACGCCGATACAATGGATATTCGTCCATTCCACTGATTGTATCGTTCACCAACGGACGGGGAAAACGCTCTGTGCAATTCCCGTTTTCCATACACGGTGAGTCTGGGTTGTGGGCTCCACAAGGGCCATGTTCGTTCATTGTTCAAAGGATTGGATCTACGGATCAGTTTCTGGATCTGGTATTTCGGCAGAAATGATCGAATCAATATGATCTGGTCGAATCTTGGGAACATTCAAAGCAAAATGTGAATGTGTGCATGTGGTAAAACACGCTTCAGCCATTCATTCGAGTACATCCAACAACGAGTAAATCCAAAAACCTTTTCCTTAAAAATGTAATTCATGAGTAATCTGATCTTTTCTTTGAATACTCGTGATGGTGGAATTTTGTCCTGTCAGCAACAGATTCGTAATTTCGGGCCATTTCGGTTTGCAAGTGAATGTGATGAATATATCCGGACGTCTGTAATTGCGGACGTACGTCATCGCAACTGAAGCGCACTCATGCATGTGGCGCGGGCTTCCAACATAAGTAGCTGGGAGAATGGTCAAACAACCTATGTGGGCGGCGTTTCCTTCAGTAGCGATGGCGTCACGCAAGTGGATGTACTCTTTTGACTGTTAGGTAACTTCGACTGTTAGGTTAGGTTAGGTTTATAGGGCTGCTCGACCGAAGTCGAGGTCCCTCGGAGGCAAGTCTGCCCATTGTGATGCCCACACTCGTCACGGGATATTGTTCGGTGCCTAGGGAGGTTTCGCGAACCATCCCGAGGCCTCTATAAAGAGCACCAGTTTCTCTAGAGGCATGTTTGCCAGCTGTCCAGGTCTTCATAGAAGGCGCCGCCGAGTATTCGGTGACGCCTCCCCATGAGTGCAGGACAGTTGCAGAGAAGGTGCTGGATGCTCTCTATTTCCTCCTCGTCCCTGCAGCTGCGGCAGAAGTCATGGTGGGGCAGTCTGTACCTTGTAGCCATGCGGCCGATGACACAGTGCTCTGTTATAACTCCCGTCAGTGATCACACCCGACTCTTCCTGAAGTTTAGGAGAGTCTTGGTGCGTTAAGGGGGGTCACAGTTGGGTGTGGTGTTCCACCTTCTGTCCGATCTCGTTCTTGCTCGGCCCATCATCTTCGAGATGATGACTCGTAGTGGCCTCCACGGACTGCGTACTACACGGACTGCGTCCGTCATTAGCTTGGCCGATCCAGCTCTGGCACACTCGTCCGCACTCTCGTTGCCCGCTATGTCGGTATGACCCGGAACCCACGTGAGTGTGATTGAGTGCGCGCTGATCTGGCTTAGTCACGTACGAGTCTGCTTGTGATCAGAATACCAAGGCTT